GTTTTCTTGGCCTTGGGAATAAGAATGGACATTCATTTTCTATGAAAGCAGTCTTCCAGGGACCAGCAGTTAGCGTAATGGCTATGTCGCTGGACTCCCACGTAGTCGACAGAGGTTCGCGTCCCAGACCCGGTGGCTTAAACTCACACCGGGTGCATGTACGTGTGAGCCCAGGATCCCTAGAGGAGAGTGGAGGAGAAGGGATTGCGGTGTGGCCATCCCCCTGGGGGGGGGGGTGATTTCTCGCTTTCTGTCTCTCTGTCTCTCTAAGTCTTTCTGGCGAGCGCACGCGCCCTATAGCAAAAACCTCTCCAAAAAAAAAAAAAAAAGGCAGTCTTCCATTAAATATTCAACTCTAAGCTATGGATTTCCAGTCAGACCAACAAGCTGCATGGGGAAAGTTTTCAGCTTCTAAAAAAAATTCTCCGTTTCTAGGAAAACACAAAATGTCTGTCCTTGTCCCACATTTAGTTTGATTTCCTCCATTCCTTAACCTCTCTCTCTTTGCACTCCCTCGGCCTACTCGACCTTACACCTGTAAGTACTTGGTGAGTTACTCTGATTTTAAGAGACAGGGACCCCGGGGGTCAGTCTTGGGCAAAACCCTTCAGCGAAGAGGAAACCGGGCTCTCAAGACCTTTCCAAGATACAGAAAACCCAGGAAACGGTTTCTATGGATGCAGGACGCATTGTTAAGGGACTACCCGAGCCAGAAGAGAAAGGAAAGAAATATCTGTCATCTGTTCCGGGAGGCGGAGGCGTTGGCAAACTTGAAAATTGAAATTTGTACGCAGGTGGAAGGCAAAATAGGAAAAACTTAATTTTATTAAATCGGCTTCCCCGTACCACTTCCTGCAGCCTAGCGGGTGGGACTTCTCCAGTAATCCGATCCGAGAGCTCAAGGCTGGAGTGCGAGCGGCAAAACTGAAAGCGTAAAGCGGACTCTCAGGTGAGTGTGGACGGCGGTGCGGGGTGTGGACGGCGGTGCGGGGCGTGGCGAGAGGCTTTTCCCAGCTCGTTGAAAAACCTTCAGCCTCATCTACACTTAGTATTACGAAGTTTCCTCAACTTTGCCCCCAATTTCGACTTCCCATTAAAGGATCGCAGACATGGCATTTGAGTGGGGCTCCTCATCTTGCAGACGGGGTGCAGGGAAGGTGACCCTGGCGGGACAGGGCGCGAGTCGCGAGATGCGCTTGAGCGCTCGTCAGTGATCCATTCACAATGTGCAGGAAACGGAACCTACTGGAAGGGCTGGTGGGAGTTTGTGGCTCCTGCAGTAATTACTGACTGGTTGTTTACGGTAACGCTTCCCGATGCCCGTACATCATACTTAACGTCTTTGACGTTTTCCCTCAGAAACGTCCTTGCCAACCTGAAGTTGGTGACAAAGTTTAGTAAAGATTAAAAGCAGGGTAAATTTTCTCTCCCTCGCTCACAAATAGGAGAACAAGATTTTATAAGACATAGATGTGCCATATTCCCAGTTAAATCTTAATAAAAGGTCTTAAATTCGTTCTCTCAATTTGTGGGTTCTATGCGCCTGCTAGAACTGTGGTAACAAAATACCACAGACCGAATATCTAAACAACAGAAATGTATTTTCTCACAATTCTAGAGTTTACAAGTTGGTGGTAAGAATAGGCGGGCTGGATTTCTTCAGAGGCCTCTTCCTCTGGCTTGCAGGTGGCTGCCTTCTGGCGGTCTTCCCAAGGTCTGTCCTTTCTGCATGTGTTGTCTGTTTCCTAATCTCCTCCTCTGCTGAGACAGGAGTCACACTGAATTTACGGTTCATCCTAAGGACCCCATTTTAACTTTTTACCTCTTTTAAGGTTATATTTCCAAATATCACATTCTGAGGTTTGTGGGGGGCTAGGGTTTCAATTTAAAAATGTGAGGAAGACATACTTCAGCCTATAATGTGTCATTAATTGACATTTTACATATTTAATTTTACATTTAAAAACTAAAGAATCACTTATTTCTGGGACCAGCAGTTAGTGTAATGGCTATGTCACTGGACTCCCATGTAGTCAATTGTGGTTCACGTCCTGGATCCGGTGGCTTAAACTCACGCCAGGTGCGTGTGCATGCGTGCCCAAGATCCCAAGAGGAGAATGGAGGAGAAGGGATTGCGGCATGGCCATCCCCCCTGGGGGGTGATTTCTCGCTTTCTGTCTCTCTGTCTGTCTGGCGAGCACACACGCCATGTAGCAAAAAACTTCAAAAAAAAAAAAAAAAGAATCACTTGTTTCTGTTTTTAGAATGTGAGGTGGAGAAATTCAGCCCAGTATCTCCTCATTAAATAAAATTTAATCATTTTAACAAATGACATAAGTATTTACAACAATCTTCAGATCAAAGTGTAAGAAGCCTTGTCTTCAAAGAATAAATATTTGAAATGAACACGCCACATAATGGAAGTAAATTTTAATCTAAGCTTCCATTTGAGATAATGCATTTCCAGTCCTGATCTTTAGTTTGTCAGGTTAGACTTAGTTTTTCCGAGTTGTTTCTTTAATAGAAGACATTTAGAACTTGCCAAAGAAGACCTCTCAGGATAGGCTATTAGGTTGATAGCACTGGGTTTTGTTTTTTTTCTTTTCAGCCCCCTAAGTGCTGTTAATATAAAATAGTGCTCAGGCCAGATGTGTAGCCTGGGTAGGTAAGGAGAGCTGAATCCTACATGGTCTACTCTGACTGGAATCCTGGCCTGGACAACCAGAAATGTACTCAGCACAGGTGTTTGTACATCCCATCAGGGGTGGCTTCTCCCTCTCCTTCTCCCTTTCTCTGTCTCTGTGTCTCTCCCTTATGAGTGCATATGCCCTCTGGCAATTAAAAATTATGACTTCATGCTCTTAAAGGTAGCTTTTTGGCTCAATATTGTTATTTTAGTAATCACTCTGCTTCTGATGTGCTAATTATGCTGACTGGCAATCTTTGATGTAGACAAGCCTTCAAGTGAGGCCTATGGCTAATTTGATTTGCCTCAGGAGTGACTGGGAGTTTATTCTGCCTTAATTGGCAAGTTCTCTACTTCATTGTGTGTGTGTCTGTGCCCGTGTTTTTCTTTTTTTCCAAAAAATCCACATTTGTTTTTAAAACAATTATTACTGAGTTTAGGTTTGACAAGAGGCACATTTTTTAGTAATTCGTTCAACTTAATATATCATCTTCCAGTAAATCCTTAGGAACTAACATTATTTATTACAGATAAACTGGGACTACTCTCCCTAAAACATTATATGCAGAGAGATTTCCAAATTAAATTGTAATTTTCAGATCTCAGTTAGATGTAAAACGTTGTGCTACATGCTGAGATTCAGAGGTAGGTAAGCTATTCTTTCATTTATTTTTAGGTTTTTGTTTTGTTTTGTTTTGGCCATAGGTTGCATACCCTCGCCAGAGACACAGAGAAATAGAGAGGGAAGGTGAGAAATCACCAACCCCCAAGAGATGCCATGCCACAGTCCTTCCTTTTCTATTCTCCTGTCAGGATTTTGGGCATGCACTTACGCATGCCTGGTGTGTTTTTCAGGTCACTGGATTCAGGACTTGAACCCACAGATCTGGCCATGTATGATTCAGTGCCTTAACCACCACACCACCTGCTGGCCTGGTAAGTCCATTCTTGCCTTAAATAAGTTTTCAGCACAATTAGGAGATTTATCAAACAATGAATCTCTTCTGTACAGAGTGTTATGTGTGGTAAAGAAGTACAAAGTACAACAATACATGACAAAAGGAGACTGTCACAGAGACAAGGAATGAGAGGATGCCAAGGAAAGTTTCATAAAATGTAAATCATTGTAGTCATTATTAAATATTAATAGTAACAATGACAGTAATAATTGTTAAATAATAAAAATTGATAAGAAGCATACTTTTGCCGGAAAGCCATGAGAGCATTCTGAGCAGAAGGAAAAGCATGAGTGAAGGACGTGTCTGGGAAATGGGCAGGATGTGTCCAGGGAGCAGGGGTAATGGAACATGGCGGAGAGGAAATGGAGCAGAAGATAAACTGCAAAGGTGAACTGAGCCAGATCCTAGACTATCTTTTCTTGAATGGTCTCCTATGTTATCTGAAGAGTTTGGGTGTCATTCTGCAGGTACCGGAGCAAGCCAACATTTGTAGGCTGGAGCTAGACGAGATCAATACCCTGTTTAAGAAAGACAGTTTTGGGACAGCAGGTAGCATAGTGGTTAAGGTACTAGACTCCCATATGGCCAATTGTAGTTCAAGTCCTAGGCCTGGTAGCTTAAAAATCATGTCAGGCATTGGGACCAGCAGTTGGCATAATGGCTATGTCGTTGGACTCCCATGTAGTCGACTGTGGTTCAAGTCCTGGACCCGGCAGCTTAAACTCATGCTGGGCATGTGTGCGTGCGTGCCCAAGATCCCAAGAAGAGAATGGAGGGGAAGGGATTGTGGCATGGCCGTCCCCCCTGGGGGGGGGGGTGATTTCTCACTTTCTATCTCTCTGTCTTTGTCTTTCAGGCAAGCGCACGCACCCTATAGCAAAAAACCTCTCCAAAAAAAAAAAAATCATGTCAGGCATGTAGGAGTATGTGCCCCAAATCCCAGGAGAATGCAGTAGAAGGAATTGCAGCATGGCCATCCCCCATGTGGGATAATTTTTTAGTTTCCCTCTCTCTGTCTCTCTCTCTGGCAAGTGCACATTGCTATGGCCGAAAAAAAATAGAAAAAAAAAGACAGCTTTGATGGCATTTCGTGGGATCAGTATTTTAAGGATAAGGAGGAAGGTTAGGGTCAGGCAAGTTATGGGGGAATATAGTACAGTAACCCAAGAGAGGGAAGATCTAAACCTACAAGTCTGATGGAGGACAATGGCAAGGAAATCAAAGCAAGGATCATAAAGGTCTTGCCGTCTTCGAGTCTGTTGCCCCACTGATCATGGAATTGTGTGCTGATCCATTCTAACGCTGAGATTCTATGAGTTAGGCTTCTATGACACATAAGAACCCTATATTCCAGATGAGGGCAACTATAAGTACATGAAAGAATATTCTTTCACCCCAAGTTTATGCATCAGTTGAAAGGGGAGTGATTAGATCTACTGAACAGAAAACCAATTTTGTTTTTTCATGCAACTTCGGTATGAAGGAATACTTATCAAGGTGATCTCCCTAATAGTTACTACCTTTCATGACCTATGCCTGGGCTTGGTAGGACAACAAGTTTTAGTTTCCATTTGCTGAACTTAGAAAGAGAATTTAATAGAAATTTTAGAAATAAAACTATAAGGAAATTAAGGTAGGAAAGGAGACAAGATGATCAGATGCTATTGGACAAAAGATTTTGAATTGCTGGATTAAAATAGAAGATACATAAGTCGCTGAATCAATTCTCCTTATTTCCAAAGTTCCAAGGTAGTTTAATGTAGGTATAATTAAAGAAATATATTGGGAAGAAAGCAAGTAGATAGTCAGAAATGAGACCCTTAAACATTGCACAGACAGGAATGGGAGAAAAACAATGAGATGGTATACACGTGGAGAAAATGCATTTTGCAGCATTTATAGGAAGTCCACATCTTATCCCTAACTGGTAAGTACATCATTACTTGGACTTATTTATTTTATTTATTAAGTATTTCTATGTCTAAACTAAAACTTATATTTGCCAAGCAAACCTCTTAACAACCTCATGAAGTAGATGCTTTTATTATTCCCATTTTACAGACAGGTAACACAGACAAATTAACCACCTAGCTCACAGTCACACAACTGTAAGCGACAGATCTAAGGCAGTGTGACTCCAGAGTCTATGTTTTTGAGTAGTTATACTGTGCTGCTTTTGTAAGTTTAGAAGTGGGGGAGAAAGCAATGTTCACTATATTGAATTTAAAATGAGATCCATTCCTTTAACATTTACTTCCCTTCGACCACTTTTCTCTTCCTCCTCATGTTTTTTAATGCCTTGATTTTGTCTAGAAGAACTTCCAAAGGACTCTGTCAAAAAATTTGTGCATACTTGGGGCCAGCAGTTAGCGTAATGGCTATGTCGCTGAACTCCCATATAGTCGTTCACAGTTTGAGTCCCGGACCCGGTGGCTTAAACTCACACCGGGCGCATGTGCGTGCCCAAGATCCTGAGAGGAGAATGGAGGAGAAGGGATAGAGGTTGGCCATCCCCCCTGGGGGTGATTTCTCACTTTCTATCTCTCTGTCTCTCTCTTTCTGGCGAGCACATGTGCCCTATAGCAAAACCTCTCCAAAAACAGAAAAGAAAAAAAAAATTGTGCATACTCATAAACACAAATGAAGGCTGAAAGCAGTCAAAGCAGTTACAATTGCCACTTCCTCTGTGGCTGATGCTTAACTCATTCATTCAAGTTGTTAGATATCAGGGTTAAAGAGAAATAGATTTCTGCCTTGAAACACGTAGTAGAGAAGGGGGAATAAGACAAGTGTATCATATGTGATTAGAGTGTGGTAAATGCTAGGATGCAGACTACATAAGATGTCTTGCAAGCATGGACATTTGGCATCTAAGTCACTGTGTATCTGAAACAGCTTCCTGGCAGCAGTGTTACTTGTGTTGGATCTTGAAGGATGAATGGGACTTAAGAATATGGGGAATAAAAGAATGGCATTGTAGGCAGAGGGAGTAGCAAAAACAAAGCAACAAATAAAGGAAACAAGATACTTTGAGGAACCACAAGTTCTTCATTATGACTGGAATGCCAAGTGTACATGTGCAAGAGGCAGGTGACATTAAAAACTAAGTTAAAGGCCAGACCATGAGCTTTGTCTGATAAATCAAGGAGCTTGACATTTGTTCTGAAAGTTGTTGAAGTGGCTGAAACTTTAAGCAGGGAGGCATCTGATTATATTTTTCTTTTCAAAATAAATCAGACAGATGTCAAGGATAAGGTGTATAAAATAGACAAATATGTAGACAAATTTGAAACTATTGCAACAGGTTATGGAACCCTAAATTGAGGCAGTAGACATATGAGTAGATTAGAGGAAATTTATAGAGGTATTTAGGATGTAATAGCATGTACATATTTATGGAGGGAGTAAATGGGAGTTTTCCAGAACAGTGGTGACCAAATCCTGGTTCTGGAAACAGCTGAATCAAACTTACTTTAAAAAATAGATTTCTTATCTTTACCTCCAAAAATTCTCATTTAGTCTTTGAGGTGGCAACTAGGAATCTGTATACTTTGTAAGCTTTTGACTTCATTTTGCAGTAAAACTAAGGTTGAGAACCATTAAGGTGCCTAAATATATGAACTAGAAGTCTAGAGGATACTAATATGATATTAAAGGTTATAAGATTTTTTTGGCTGAACAAGAAGAAGGATGTAGACAAGCTTACTCTTAAGCCTACACTTGGGCTACCTATGAAAATATGAGTTAAGTTGGATATACAAGTTTGGAACTGAGAAGAGAGATTTTGGTTGGAAATATTGGGTCGTTGGAGAAGTCATGATGCATTTTTGCATAGAGAAAACAAAAAAAAAGTCATGACTTTTCTGATGACCCAGTAGATAGTCATAGACAAATCCATGGGTTTGAGAAGACATCCTGGAAGAATACATGGGTATATGAGAATGATAGCCGAGCTCTTAGGAACACTAGTTTTAGGGAGTGGGCTGAAGAAGAAGAGTAAGTTGGAGATACTGATGAGGAAAATGTGACTGTTACCACAGAAACCAAGAAAATGGAGAATGTTTATAGAAAAGAGCAATCAACATAAGCAAAAGTTACACAAATTTAAATAAGATAAGAGCAGGAAAACACCCATCGATTTATAAGATGGTGACTCTGGTGGCCTATGAGAGCAGACGTAGTGGAATAATGTAGGAAGAAGCCAAATGGTAGTAGGTTGAAAAGGAAAAGAGATGTATAGATGGTCTGGAATTTAGGGAAAAATATGGCAATGTAGAAAAAAATGACAATGAAGGGAACACACAAGAGAGAGAGTGAGAGAATTCCAACAATGAAGGTCATGAGAATGCTTCTTTTGTGTTTTACAACTAGAAGAGACTTGAACATGCTAAGGGATATTGGTGAAGAAAAGAGAGAATATACAGGAAAGCGAGGATGCCCAATGAAAGTAATTAGAAAGTAATCTTAGAAGGCTGGAGGTCATAAGCCTAGAATACTTGGGTGGAATTAGCTTTGGGTAGCAGAAGTAACACACATTTAGTAAAATTGAAATGAAGAAATCATGTGAATAGAAAAGACTTCACTATGAAAGGTAGAGGGTGAAGAAGCACTTGCTTGATGGTCTGTACTTTATTTGTGATATAGAAAAGGTCATCACCCTTGACTAGGAAACTGTGGTCACAAAGAAAAATGTCTTCTAGGTGCTAATTTCCTCAATAAATTTGGCAGAATACTCAGAATGATGCTTTCAGGTAATATATTTAGATAGCCAGTGACCAAATGAACAAATAGCTGTTTATCATCAAATGATAATATATGCCTATAGAAGTAAGAATACCAAAGTATACATTAAAATGAAAAAGATGGACTGAAGGGCTGAAGTATAGAAGGTCAAATTGAGAAATATTTCATTTGTTCCCCGCCCCCCCAAAGGACATGTGAAAAAGACAGAGAGACAGAGAAGAAAGCACCCTCCATGAGGAATGGTCACACCACGATCCCTTCTCCTACATTTCTCCTTCCTTTCAGGGTTTTGGACATGAACACATATGTACCCAGAATATTTCTCAGCTCTCCAGGTCTGAGACTCAACTGCAGGTGTGGCCAGGTGGGATCTGGCTGCCTGAACCACCAGACTACAGAGCCAGTCCTTAATGCAGTCTTGGTGCATTAAAAGAGTAGTAGTTAGTTCATGCAGAGCAGTTGGGGTACACTGTCATATTGGTCCTGATGTTCCTTTGATCTCAGCATTTATTTGAAGAGACTCAAAATAGGCCCATGGTATCCTTGACCTAATTATGAAAGCAAGTTAATCTATATTGTCTCCTCTCTCCCACTTTCTCCCAGCGTCGTTTTTCCATTGGCACATTGACGCAAAGACCTGTAAAAATATTTGTAAGCTGAAAAATAATGTATTGGTTTAAAACTTTGAAAGGAAAACTATGAAACTAATATTGTCCATTCCATTAGCTGTCACATTTAGTATTCATAAAACTGTCATTGTCATTTGGTTTCTTTCCCCCAAAACTCATGATCTGAATAGTGATTTGTCAGAAATGATATCATAACCAAATAATTTACTCATAGAAAAATAATTTTAAAGCAAACACGTAAATTCTTCCATACAACATATATATATATATATATATATGCATATATTGCATATGTATGCTTTATATATATATAAACTGGGATGATATGATGTATCTTAAAATGTCAGATGTTATGTTGAGATAGAAATACTCTAAAAGTAAGAGGTGTAGGATATCTTATTCTATAAAGACATGTTTTCTGTTCTCACAAGTAAGCAACATGTCTTAGTTGTCCCTCATCAAATTTATACCTTCCCCAATCTGGGAAGCCTATTCAATTCAATATGCTGGTTTTTCCAGTTATTTACCTTTCTATCTTACTTATAAATAGGAGCCTAGGATCCAGCAGCTTGAAAATCATGCCAGGAGTGTTCATGTGCTTGCCCAAAATCCCAAGAGGAGATGGGAGAAGAAGAGATTGTGGCATGGCCATCCCCACTGGGGATGTCTCTTTTTGGTGAGCACATGGGCTCTATAACAAAAACAAACAAAAAAATGAAATCAAAATCTTCATCTCCAGTACAGGACATTTTGATAAAGGACTATGGGTGTTTTCTCCAGTCCTTTGAACTCATGTTATGTTTAAGGGAAACACAGACACTAAAATTTCTCAGTTATTTTTAGAATATACAAGAGAGCTGGTTCCTGAGAAGAAAATATATAGTATCCACATAATCCATTTTCCCTTCCAAAATCTGTCTCTTCTCTCCTATAGGAGAACCAAGGAGTATGAGCTGACACCTTTACCCTAAATGGCCCCTCCCAACCTGCTCCCTATGGTTACATCATTCATAACAAGACAGGCTATCTGCTAGCACCACCATGGCTCAGAATTTCCTCTGCATCATTTCTTTGTCACATTAAACCATGTGACCTGAAGAAGTAGAATATCTGCATGTAGCAACATGGGAGAGGGCATGCTGGGGATGGGAGGGCACTATCAGAGCATCAGGAATTCTCACTCAGGCAATGTATTGAGAAAAGAAAAGAGATGAAAAACACAAAGTGCAAAATAATGTGAATTTTTTTTTTTCTTGTCAGAGAGCTCATGCACTTACCACAAAGAGAGAGAGAGGAAGAGCGAGAAAGTACCCTCTCCTCCAGGTGGGTCACAGTCACAGCTCCCATAAGGGCAATCCCTTCTCCTCCAATTCTCTGCCCTGTTGGAATTTGGGGCATGCATTCACATGTGCTTTTCAAGCCTCTGAGGCAGGAATTTGAACTATGGTTGACTGTGTGAGAACTAGTTCCCTTAACCACAAAGCTATGGGGCCACCCTAATGTCGGCTTTTGATATAGGATCCTGAATCCTTATCTTTCATTACTGTCCTTGTGTGATATTGAAACAATATGGAAGTAATATCATGTTTTATTTATTTTTTGTAGCTAGAATAATTTTAGCATTGACTTTGATATTCATTAAAACATCTACATTCTGTAGCTCATGAAATTATGATTAGATGCCACTGGAGTCTATTTAATTTTCTGAGTAAAAGTATCTTGAAGGGCCATCAGGTGGCATGGTGGTTAAGGTGCTGGACTTGCACATGGCTGACCACGGTTCAGGTTCTAGACCTGGCAGCTTGCTTTCTCGCTTTCCCTTTCTCTCTCTTTCTCTCTGTCTCCCTATGGCAAATTAATAATAATAATAATTTTTTAAAGTATATTGAATGCATAGTCATCTACTCGCATTTTAAAAATAAGTAAGATAAAGGGAACTTTGGGTTAGTATTTTTGGTTTCTTGCATCCATTCTGGCCCTAGTTACTTATATTCCACTATTAAGGTACTTTGTGGCCTTTTCTCATGTGAAAATGAAAACAAGTGAGGCCAGGTTCCAATATATTATACAGCTCCCAAAGGCTAATACAGACCCCTTGACCCTGATAAGATTTTTCAGCAATGTTAATTAACAAAAAAATGTGAACTATTATGTCAATGGGACCTGACCCACTTAGCTGGTGCTGCATCTGTGTGACCAATTGCCTGCTACGTTTTATGTAACATTGGTCAATTTAATTAAAGTACAGTCAATTATGTAAATGTGAGCTCTTGACATTTACTTTTATTAAAATTATATTATGACCAAAAAAACCCAGATTTGTCAAGTAACGTGCTCTTGCTTCAAGAATGAGTCATATCCAGTTCTCCTGTGGAACTGCTGGACTTTCTCTAACTCACCTTTATCATACATTTTAAAATTCATGGAATCCACACACATTTGGGAGTTCTAATCACATGACTTTCTGTAGAAGAAAACTTGGGTACAAGTTCTTTTTTTTTCTTTTTCTTTTTAAGGTTTTTTCCATAGGGCATATGCACTCACCAGAGAAGAGAGAGAGACAGCGAGAAGGAAAATGAGATATCACTCCCAAAGGGGGATGACCATCCCTCAATTCCTCCTCCTTCACTCTCCTCTTGAGATTTTGGGCACACACACGTCCCCAGGGTGACTTTGAAGCTGCTGGGTCCAGGACTCAAATCATGGTCAGCCATGCGGGGGTCCAGCATCTTAACCACCCCATCACCTGCTGGCCCCAAGAGTACAATGTCTATGATTTATTCTGTGATCTATACAATTCTATTACTTACCTAAAACAGTAATGTAAAAGTGGGTCTCTTCTTAATATATGCCTAAATAATCACTTATATGTTTAAATTTTAATTGCTTTGAAGATTTGTTTTTCTCTCATCTTCTTAAAATAGGAATTTACTGACTGACGATGGCGGAAAAAATCTTAGAAAAATTAGATATCCTCGATAAGCAAGCAAAGATTATCATGGCCAGAAGAGCAAAGGTTTGTAAAGCAAAAGCTAAAATTCAATTTAATCATTAAAAACGTAACATTTAAAATATTACTTAATGTTTTACTTAATGCATTAACATAAAGGCATAAACTAACTCGTACAAAGCATATAACTATGTTAGTTGAAAGAGTCATCTATGGAAGTAAATATTATAAAAATTAAATATACAAGATAACTCCTAGATAGGTGCCTTACTCAGTTGTTTTCAGGGTTTTGCTACTACAAGTAAAACTGATAACAATATAAAATGTCAGGAACCTGAAAGTTGAGAACTTCTTTGTGCCTGGGAGGCTGTGCCCAGCAACTCTGCAACTGGCACCATGCCACAAAACGAATATATTAAATTACATCCTAAATGCTATAGATATCGTTTGGATTACAATGAGATAAAGAGAAGGAAAGTCGAGAGACTCATGAACATTTAAAGAAGGCAAAAGAGAAGACTGGTCTGAAAGCTGAGCTCTATCATAAGCAGTAACAGGCTGAGAAAATACAAATGAAAAACTATCAAGATGCATGAAAAGAGGAACACCAAACGAAAGAATGATGGCAAGACTCCAAAGGGAGCAGTACCTGCCTATCTCTTCAACAAAGAAGGACAGTTCTAAGCTAAAGTACTTTCCACTATGATTAAACAAAAACGAAGAGAGAAAGGGAGCAAATGGGAAGTCCCTCTACCTGAAGTTCAAGCCCAGGTAGAAACAGAAGTCTTAAAAATTATTTGAACGGGAAGGAGAAAGAAAAGGGCATGGAAGAGGATGGTTACAAAGTCTGCTTTGTTGGAGATGGCTTTACTAGAAAGCCACCTCAATATGAAAGACTCATTAGGCCAATGGGCTTACGTTTCAAGAAGGCCCACGTAACACATCCTGAACTGAAAGCCACCTTTTGCTTGCCAATGCTTGGTGTAAAGAAGACTCCCTCATCCCTACTATATACAGCTTTGGGTGTTACCACCAAAGGTGCTGTCGTTGAGGTGAACGTGAGTGATTTGGGCCTTGTGACACAGGAGGCAAGGTTATCTGGGGGAAATATGCCCAAGTTATCAATAATCCTGAAAATGATGGATCTATAAATGCTGTCTTACTGGTTTGATAGCTGTTTTATACAAGTAACTCTTTGTAACTTTTAAAGATGATACACCAGTCTGGAAAACCATTATGACTGATGTTTCTGAATACTACCAGTCTTACATGTCTGTAGTCATCAAAAGATTATTTATTAAATTGTATAAAAAACAGTAAAGTGGCCTGGTTTTACAGAAAATATATAAAATGTCTATCCACATGTGTATATACATAAAATGTCTATGAACATTCAAATACAGGTTTTTGAATTAATGTAAGTTTTTGTTTCCCTAGGGTGAGTTTCCAACAGTGTAATTACTGGTATTTTCTTTCTCTTAAACTCGGGGCTACAAGGTTTGGTTTGCATTCCTCCAAACGCACTGGGACTCTAGTCCCTCAACCAGAAATCACCACTAGGAAGTAAGCTGGACTCTTTTAGGACTTATCTAATTTATTTCCCTTTTCTCAGGGATCCAGTCCTGCTTTTCTGTTTTCTAGTATTTAAATACAGTTGTAAAACCTCCAAAACTCACCTGAATCACTTAATTTTATTTTAGTATGACTTTAGAACTGTCAGCTGTCAAGTGACATAGCAAAAACATAGATGAGAATGACTCTTGTACTTCCAAAAGTAAACTACTGCTATCTGTTGCAAAAATGTATCATGACAGTTCTGACAACCCAATATATAGATCTTTCTTTAAATTTGGAGTTTTAGACTTAGAAGGGAGACTTAATGATTGATCATCTAACCCAAAACCTTCATTTCATAGTTGAACAAAAGTGGCTCAGGATATACAGGAAAGACATTTAAAAAGTTGGTACACAAGGCTCCCCTTTCAATCTGTAATATTTTTCCATTTTGGCTGCCACATAAATTCTGTGTGTGTGTGTGTGTGTGTGCATGTGTGTGGTTTCAAAGTGAGACTGATTTTTGTTCTTTCCACACAGGATTTTCCTTATATGAAAATTACTTATTTTTTTCACTTTTTTTTTTTCCTGCAGAAAAACAGGCTTCAGAGGGAAGGGAAGAAAAAGACTGTGGTTACCCCCCTGACGTTTGATTTTCAGTTGGAATTTGAAGAAGGGGTTGATACATCCACATCTAATGCAGCATCAAAGATCACAGAAGACAAATCATGTGACCTTAAAAAATCAAAAAAGTAACTATCGTAACTACCTACACATAGCAGTTCACCACTGTACTTTAAGGTCAGCCCAAGATGGGAACCAGCAGTTAGCGTAATGGCTATGTCGCTGGACTCCCACGTAGTCGACCGCGGTTCGCGTCTCGGACCCGGTGGCTTAAATCTCACGCCGGGCGCGTGTGCGTGCGTGCCCAAGATCCCGAGAGGAGAATGGAGGAGAAGGGATTGCGGCGTGACCATCCCCCCGGGAGGTGATTTCCCGCTTTCTGTCTCTATGTCTCTCTCTGTCTGTCTGGCGAGCGCACGCGCCCTATAGCGAAAACCTCTCCAAAAAAAAAAAAGAAAAAGAAAAAGAGGTCAGCCCAAGAGAGGCTTTTTAAAAACTCATTTATATGTCCCTAAATTAGTGTCAAGATTTATTTCAACCTTTAGCCACATACACTTCAAGAAGTCCACCGAGGAAATTAAGTAGCATCTTTGTGTACTCAAAAAGAATAAGCACTGTGTCATACCTGGCCTTTCACTGGCATTACGTATAATGTAATGGTATCAATATATAATTTTTCCAGGCATCAGAAATGTAGAGGAGAGTCCAGAAAAAAGAAGTACTAAGATGTGGAATTAACAGAATTACAAATCAGTTGAACATTGGTGGTAGTATGAATACTGTTCTTACCTCATTTATTCTGTGTAATAATTCAGTCTGTTAAATACAGTTTTACAGACAAAATATCCAAGTCTCAGTGAAGTTAAATAACTTAAACAAGATAACTCAGCCAACAAGTAGCAGAGGCTAGATCGAAATCCCAGCAGTCTGACTTGCGAGCCTATGCCCTTCATCGCTACTCTACTCAATGGGACAACGCAAGATTCAGGGTCTGAAGATGCATTATGGACTGACTATATGCATTGTGGCGCTTTATACTTGGGTAGAGAAGAAAAGCAGACTGGAGTGGGTAAGAGGATCAGAGTGAGAAGAGCAGGTATTTACTTTGCAGGTGTTAAGTTTTCAATGCCTCTGGGGCATTCAGGTGAAAGTGGAGGTTTCTGGAAGAGAGTTAGACAAAGGAGTCTGGATATTAAGTAAAACAGCATTACTTTGACAGCTGTAGCTGAAACTTGTCATTTTGCTTGTAAGCCTTCCAATATGACGTAAAATATAGCTAGCTAACTCATTTTTGTTATTTATGATTGACCAGGATATCAGATCTTGTTGCCATTGTGGAACTATAAGTTAAGAAAAAGGAGTTTGTTACTGGCACAAATATTAATGGATTAGATCATTTAACCTTATCACAAACTTCTTACATTGCTATCATTTAATTTTTTTTTTTTTTGTCAGAGGGTGCATATGCTCACTAGAGAGAGACAGGAAGAGGGGGAGGAAGCACCCCTTAATGGGGGCATGATCATACTGCAATCCCTTTTCCTCCATTTCTCCATCCCAATCAGAATTTGGGGTTCACAAGTACACTTACTGGGCCAGGACTTGAACCACATGTTCAAGACTTGAACTGCTAGGTCAGCCACATAGGATTGACTTTTTCAGCCATAAGCCACAGAGCTGGTCCAATTTTTTCCTTTTAAATTCATGATAGAACATGTGTACATGCATGCGTGAGGGAGAGAGAGTGAGAGCAGAGCAGATTTCCGCAGGTCTGGTCACACCACACAACCCATTCTTTGAATCCTGATATGTTTATGTGCTTGCCTGATATGTTTCAGACTAACCTGTGGGCACCACGTGGGGTCTAGCTCTGTGCCACAGAGCCACCCCGTTCCCTAGATAAACCAATAACTTCACTTCAAAATCATTTATAGAACTGTCTTTATTGAATATTTTAGTAATACAGAGAAACATTACATAAAGTGGAAGTTAAGAATATGAGGAAGGGAAAAATGATATATATTATTATAGTTTTATACTTTATATTTATATATTATGTATACATATACTTCATTGTGTAACAGTATAATATACAGCTAGCTAATAACCCCTTAGACATATTTAAAGGTCTTAATTTTTTGTTTGTTTGTTTGTTTTAGAGAGATTTTTGCTACAGGGAGTGTGTGCTCACCAGAGAGACAGACAGACAAACAGAAAGGGAGAGATTACCTCCTAGGGGAAAGGGCCACACCATAACCCCTTCTCCTCCCTCCTCCTTTTGGGAGTTTGGGCGTGTACACACACACACACACACACACACACACACACACACACACACACATGCACCTGGCGTGAATTTTAAGCTGCTGGGTCCTGGACTCGATCCACCGTTAACTGTGTGGGAGCCAGCAACGTAACCATTATGCTCTCTGCCGGTTCCTAAAGGCCATGTTTTATGGCAGTATTTTTCAAGATGATACTGTGGCTACCCCTTTCCTGTCTCATGACATAATTTTCTAAATAGTTTCAAAGGCATTATTGATCCTGTGTTAGTGACAATATAACTGATCAATAGCTGAATGATGTTCTTTTTAAGGGAAATGGAAGCCTGATTGACTTGGAAGGCAAAGTGAGAATCCAAAATATAAAGACAAAGAGACACATTTTTCAGAAAGAATTATTTATTTATGATTATTATTTTTTAATTTGACCAGAGAGAGCCAGTAAGAGAGAAAGTGAAACTAAGAAAGCAAGCTGTCAGGTCTAGGACTTGCACTGTGGTCAGCCTTGTGAGAGTCCAGCACATTAACCACCACTCTACCTGCCAGACCCAAGAGACACACATTTCTAAGACTGGGAAAACCAAGTGAATTCGGTGTGATCAATGCCCAGCAAAAACACAAAGCACAGAGCCAGCTCCATGTCCTGGTGATTAAGGCCGCTGGATCCCACATGACCGACCAAGTGGTTAGGGTCCCAGACCTGGTGCCTTGAGACACATGAAGGGTACGTGTGCATGTGTGCTAAAAATCCTGAAAGGAGGGAGAGATGGAGAAGGGATTACACTATTCCCCATGGAGAGTGCTTTCTCCTCTCCTTCTCTCTTTATCGCTCTCCAGTTAGCGTACGTGCCCTTTAGCAAACACACACATGCACACACATACATACACAAACTACACACACATACACAAACTAAAACAAAAACATACTGAAGAAGTACAATAATGTACACAAGAATTAAGGTGCAACTTCAGCTGAAGGACATAAAATTTAGTTGAAGAAATTAAGAAAAGGATCTAGAATATGTATTGGGTCATAGAAGAAGTCATAACATTGTTTTTCTATGCAAAACTGCATCATGACTTTTCCGACCCAATAGATCAGTCTGAGCAGCAGCAGGTCTGGACCACGATATTTGCATCTGGTACCACGCCTGTTCAACATCTGCCTGTCTTCAAGTAGCTTTCCTCGCGTAACAGTTGTGTACCATTTCTCAGAATGAAATGAAATTCTTTAGATGTTGATGACTTCAAACAAAAGTAGAGTTCCTGGCACTATTCATAGTTTTAAAAAACCCTATATAATTTTTTCTATAAAATACAACTACTTAAAATAGCAAAAGATGTTTTAATTCCATGTTACATTTGAAAGAACACAATTAATTATGCAAAACTAAAAAAGCTCAACATGTTCTGTAAATTCCTGTTTCATTCTCTGAACATACTAAGCATGGCTATTATATGGAAACTCTTATGGGGCTGTTTCTACTGTCTCTCGTTCTCACTGGTTTAGAAACACATCTTCTTACATACCTGGTTACTTTTATTGAGAACTGGACAATGCAATTTTTGTTAAAAATGTTGAATTTAAAGTTCTAGATGATCACTTCTCTAGAAAGGACTTGTGCTGGCTTCTGCGAAAGCTAGGCTGGGGAATTCAGCCATTGTGGGTCAGGGTAGACATGATCAAAACTAGACTTCAGTTCTCTTGAGAGCTTTCCTATTCATTATTCACTCGTTGAGCCTCCAACCCAAGCCAGTTCAAGGATCCTTCCTCTTCAGTGGACCCTGAACTTCAATTTTGTTTCCATAACCCTGTAAGTTTGTCAAAAGAGCCACACAGCTTGTTGGTCTCTCTGCTCCTGATTTTGAAATGGGGACAAAAGGAAGCCGTGCGGGGCGCCCGGCGGAAGCCGCGCGGGGCGCAGGAGCTCATGCCCCCGGAGCGGCGGGGGCCGCCAAGTGCAGGAGAGCC